TGGAAAGTTAATACTTATGATTTCTTGGCTTTTTCTTCCCAACATTGTTTATGATTTCCTCGAAGAGCACGAATCAGTGTATTGATGACATGCCTAGCCTTCTTCTTTATGTAATTCCAGATTCATATAGCATATACCAGAAAGCCCCTTCAGATCTGCGAATATATCAAGGTTGCATGAATATTATTTTTAAAAATCTTACATTCGAAACAGTCCATACACTTGTATGTTTTTGGTTTGGATAGTTCTTCATAACTCCCAGAACCTATATTAATCTCACTCAATAAGATATGTTCCTTGTTTAATTCGGTATCTGGAGTTAATCTTTAATTTATCAATATCTATAGCCTTTAATTTATTGGTAGTGAGGTTGAGAAAGAGAGCGATCAAAATGTCCCCGGAACATAGATACGGAATCCATAGAGATAGATAGATACAGGAGATAATGATGAAGTGATGATGGAGAGAGAAAGATAAAAATGAGCACAATGTCGCAAAAAGTCAGAAGAGTAATCTTAACGTGTCTGTCTGTTTGTCTGTGTGTTTTGTCTTTCTGTTCCATGTCCAGCTCCGGAGAAGAGACAGAGAGTCCCATCTGCCTACAATCGCTTCATCAAGTAAGTTTTCAACTTTTCATCAACCTAATACTTCTATTTTACACAACAACAAAACAAAAAGAGGAAAAAGAAAGAAAAAAAACAGGTGATTTATATTGCATGGTCTTGACATGCATCTACCAATCTGCAGGGACGAGATCCAACGTATCAAAGCTGGAAATCCTGATATAAGCCACAGAGAGGCCTTTAGTGCTGCTGCAAAAAATGTGAGATCCAAGAATACTATTAAAATCCAACATACTATGTTAGAGTTTCTAGGGTTTTTGTTTTATTTTTCTTAACCGAGAAAACACGGCTCATCTAGATAAGAAAAGAAAGAAATACATTTGTTGAGTAATTGTTGATTTTCTATTTTAGTTAGTATTCCTCATTTCCTGAATAAGCTTTTAACTTTCATTTCTTCATCCAGTGGGCCCATTTCCCACACATCCATTTCGGACTTATGCCATCTGATCAACCCGTGAAGAAAACTAACATGCGCCAACAGGTACTTAAAAACCCTAATATCAATATACAAAAATAAATAAATAAATTTGGTTACTTCTTCACCTTACATTTCACACAGCAGGGTTTGTTTTCAATAGTAGTCAAGTAAACTATTTAGATTACTACATGGGTTTTGACTTGAGAAATTGTGCTTCATTTTTTTTAGGAAGGCGAGGACGTGCTCATGAAAGATGGTTTCTTCACTCCAGCTAATGTGGGTGTCAGCCCTTACTAAAATAAGAATTGAAGCTGTTTAGGGTTTTAACTCTTTACTTCTCTCTTCTTCTAGCTATCGATTTTTATTTTTAAGTGTTTTTTAGGAATCTGGTTCGTGTTTAAGATTTCTTCTTAGAAGACTGTTAAGAGTTTGGATTGCTTGTTTCTGCTGCTAATGATGTAGGAGGAGGGTTTTGAAAAGCTTGAATGTTAGTGAATCCTAACTACTAAATCTCCCTAGAGCCTACCGGGAAATGAAAATCTCTATGCGGATCCTTACTCTTCACTTACAGTAACTCTGATTATCGGTCCTTACATCTCATTACTTGCTAGTTTTCTCTCTACTTTCTTTCTTAATTTGGTGTATCGTTTTCATTTTTTGTCTAATTCTTAAACCAGCTGGCATCATGTTAGTCTACCATAAACTCACACGACAGAGGTATGAACTCTCAGGAGTCTATCTCTTCAAGTGTAACCAATGTTATAAATCTTTACATTCGTTCAGTCAACTTATAACATTGGATGCCTAAAAGTAAAATGAATCTTGAAGAAAAAAATGACCTAAAGAAAAATGGATATATAGCCAGTGTTATATATTATACACTTGTCTCTTAAGGCCTAAAGAAAAATGAATAAGTTTTGTTTGGTTATACAACAATGACGACTGAAGTCAAGGGGTTTCCTCCATTGTCAACTATACCAATGTAGCATCATCTTTTGAAAGCCATTGAGAAACAAAACATAACTGAGACGTATGCTTCAGTGTTCTTTTTGGAGATATGATCAGACTTTGGATTAACCTTTTTTCTATCTTGCGATCAAAGACACTGGCTAACAACAAGATCGATGCCTGAGTGACGTACTATAAAATCCAAATGATCAGTGATTATGACTGATCTATCTCTTAAAAATCACATCAGCTTCCAAATTAAATATCGTAAAACGAGAACCCAATCAGAGTTAAGATCACAACAATATCGATGCTAGGACTCATGTTTGGACTTTCAAGCTTATTTCATTGTAGGCAAGTGTCAAAACATACAAAATTTAGGTTTGTTCATAGTTCATACGCGACAATGAATATAATATTCTCCTAGACAAAAACTATGTTGAAATAATGTATATATTGATCTATATTTTCAAGTTGACAATGTTATACGTACCCTTATATTTCGACGCCATTTTCGCTGTAGGCAAGTGTCAATACATACAAATGAATGTATGCAACGCCATTTTCTCAGATCTAAGGCAGATAAATCCACTGCCAAACACAAGTTCGTATTCCCCTGCCAGAAGAATAATCATATATAATCTAGTGGAAGAATGCTGACAGAACAAGTGCAACCTTCGATTCGGTTTTACTTTCTAATGGCAAGCTTGCGATGAAAGTAGTCTGCAAACTTTGACGAGAATGTGAATTGGACTGAGATATAGAATCGAGTTGACACTATGCACCGGGATACGGCTTGGGCTTTGGTTTGGGCACATGATTGGGCCCAGTAGTTGAAACTCCTTTTTAAGTCCAGTGGCCCAAGTCATAACTCGTAATTGTTTTTAAATGTAATATCCGACAAAGAACCCAAAAATTATCTTCAAGACATGGTAGGTCTAGGTCGCAAAATCAAATAGAAATATAAAGAGCTGTAGGTTTAAAGTGTATTGTTGCAAATATCAAATTCAATGTTGTGAGTAGGGGTGTTCAAAAGAACCGATTAGAACCGAAACCGATGGATACTCGGGGTTTGGTTCTAGTTCCTACCCGGAATCGGTCGTCAAATGATAGGTTCCGGTTCCAAATTTTTGGAACCGGAACTGAGAACTAAAACTAATATAAAATAAAATTAAAAAGTATGGGGGTTAATAAAAAAATTTATAGAAAAAAGTAATGTAAATACATTTATATTTATATTTCATAACATTTAAAGTAAATTAGTTTGACTTTTGAGAATTTACCTTTATAAAGTAATGGAGTTTGTAATTTTGAATTTATAATTTGTAATTTTATTTTTGTTAACAAGTGCCAGGTGGGGGGGTATTTGTTAGTTTTTAAGGGTTTTTTTATCATTTTAAAAACTTTTGGGGGGTACTAAATTTTATAGGGTACCCAGACCCAGAACCGTTGTTACAGGTTCCGGTTCTGGGTACCTCCGAACTGAATTCCGATTCCGGTTCATTCAAAAAATATAGGGTACCCGAAACCGAACACCCCTAGTTGTAAGTAATAAGTCCTCCGTAGTTTCAAAATTTACGTTACGAGTTTTATATATATATTATTCTAGGTTTCAACTAATACTTACGGACACTAAATCGTAATTTAAGGTCTTAGAAATTTAGTAATGGCCCAATGTACTTAAAACATTTTTTGTCTTCACCTTCACATTTTGTGATGATCTGTTGAGTAAACTGGATTTGTGGGTACACTAGTTTATCTGTTGCTCTGCTGATTCTGTTGATACGGTGCGACCACTACTGCCATTGCCAACACCATTTTCTTTCAATTTGATCCAAATAGAAAAACATGTGATTGAGTATCAGAAAACAAAACTACCAAAAGTTCAACCCAAATTTTTAATATGATTTCTTCTACATCAGTTGAGTGGGTGGATTATTGATTTGTCGCTATCTTAGCATTGGACTAAGTAATCAAATGAAAGTGTAAACAAAGATAAATTTGCCAATGCCAGCCCAAAATTCAGATGCATCCCTGTTAAAATATCAGCGTATGTACTTGAAAAGAATTTTAAAAAGGACGTTAATAAAGTTAATTTGCATCCCAGAGACAAACAAAAGTATATAGCAAAAGCAAAATACTGAAAATACTAAACTATGAGTAGTTGATTATATTGGTCAAGATGTTTGATATTAAAATATATAATCGTCCACTAACAAATGTTCCAAACAGAAAACTATAATATATCCAATGGGATCGACAATGCAAACGATTCAACATATTCCTGTCATATGAACAGAACCAATCATCAACGTATAAATAAATGATATGCAATGGTAGCTTTATTCCACGCAAAACAAGGTTGCAGATTGTAATTTCTAGTGGGGAACAGCTGCAAAAAGAGATTAGATCTCACTCTGGCTCAAGTAATCCAGGAGAGGTGTTATAAATAAATCAGAAAATCAAATTCAATCCAGGAGAGCTATCATAAATTAATCAGAAAATCAAATGAAACCATGCTATAATGATCCTCTACAATGGTCTGAAGGTGTTGAGAGGCAAAATTCATCAAATGAAAGAAGTTACTAACATAAGGCTTGAGCGAAAGGAAGGTCTTTCAGTCGTAGGTGAAACCAGAAACACGCAGAAAATCCAAGCTAATAGTACTCTCTGCACACTTTAGACTTCATATTACAACTGATAAATAAGAAATATTCAATATACCCATCTGGCACAGACCAGAAGTTTAACTTCAGCATAGCACCTCTAAAGACCACAAGAGGGTTAGCATAGATACAAAAAGTTTTCCTAACCCATCAAAACAAAATACTAAAAATGATTGTTCATAGAATAATTACTTTCAAATAAAACATGGTATAAATGTGTTAGTCCACTTTGCTCAAGAAACAGAAAGAAAATATGTTAAAATTTGGTTCTCTCAAGCAAATGTAATGGACAGTTCTTTCCAACCAAGACATCTTACAAACAGAATTATTCATGATACAATCTCCGATTTAAAGTCAGACTGTTATATATCAGATAATCTAATATGGATACATTGGTACCGTATTTCTTGTGTTAAGAAGAACTCACAAACTAACAACAAATGAAAGTAAAGAAATAAAAAAGGCTTTACAAGCATTTCTACTAAGGACTCAAACATAAGAAACCTAAGAAAAGAAAAGAAAATTCACAACCCAGATTGGGATATAGCTTAGTATCAGAATGTAGCCGAAAGAGCTGTCATAACACAGTCAGTTGCTGTGCCCAGTGCCGCAAGGAGATAGCTCACGAAGGAGTTTGGAATGCTCAGTAATTAACAACATCCATTATACTCCCGACTGAATCCTTAGGATTCAGGTATCACTATGGTATCCCGGGAATCCCTACCCCAACAGATTATAGTGCAGAGATTCAAACCAAAACCTGGAACCTCTGTCAAACCCACGTTTGCCTTTTTCCTGATTTTGACATGGATGAACATCTAGTTCTTGACTCTCTACTGGGTGAAATCAGGAACAACTACTCTGTACACTTCAAGCCACATATATAAACCTGAGACTGAATCACTGTCCTCCCAACCTTAAAACCTGGAACCACTGTGAACCCCACCTTTGCCCTAGCTTTACCCATCAAACTGCTCCTCCTTGTAACATCTTCCATGTAAACCATAGAAAAATCAACCCCTCTTTCAACTTGAAAAATCTCAACTACAGGATCAAATGAGAAGGCCAACTTATGAAGAGTCCATATCGAACTAGCCATACTAACAAATGACTCATAGAATTCACTGAGTGATCTCCACGAACTCAAAACCGCTTCATTTTGATCCAAATTGCTGAAAATCGATGATTCCATTGTAGGGTGAATAAGCTCTTGGTACTTCCTTTCACAAAACTTTGAGAATTCACATTTATGATCCCTAGTGATCATCTCCAAAGGATTGCAAGATACATGCTCAAGTAATTGCTTCAATGAAGTAGTACTTTTACCACATTCTGAATTGTGCCCATTACACATAATATCATTCTCACAAAAACCAAATCCTTCTAAATCAAAACCTCGAAACATCCCAAGACAAACGTATGACAGAAACGCATAACGGTTATGCCCCTTCTTGACATAATTAATATCATGATAAACATAATTGGCGGCCAAATCCAAATCCCACCCAGCTTTTCTCATCAAATCAATCAAAATCTTAGTAAACTTATGAGTTGTTCTACAAACATCATGTAGCACAGAATCAAAAACCCTAAGAGTTAGAAGAACATCGAATGATGAATTCAAATTATTGGATAATTTTTTCGAAAGCTTTGAATTACAGTTACGAATCTCACCCAATTGCTTCCTCAAAGCAGCAACTTGGCTATCTTTTTGATCAATCTCTTCTTGTAAGCGATCGGAAACAGTTCCTAGAGTTCTCAACTTGCTTTGATTCTCTTGCACTTGATGTTCTAAGCGAGACCCAATAGCCAAATCTTCCTCTGAATCAACAAAATCAGGACTTTTAAAAAAATCCCTAAAGAATTTCTTGAAATCAGATAGTCTCTGAAGATGTGAAACCAGAGCCCTATCAGCCACCTTTATATTTTCTTCAACAAACGGTACATGTGCTGTCTGTAACTGAAGATACGAAGCTTCAAAAGACGAAACGGTAGCAAAAACTGAAGAAATCAAGGTATGAGTCATCTGGATATTCACAAAAGACTTTTTGTGCGTTTGTTCAGATTTCACCAACTGGGTCTCTGTAACTTTAGCACCTAAATTTGGCGATTTGGGTGGCGAAAGTTCCCTTAAGTTGTGAGGCCGGTCAGGCTTGATCACGACGACTTTTTGGTCGGTGATAAAGTCTTCCGTGGAGTCGAGGAGAGCAAAACCTTCGGAATCGGAAGGATCATGATCATCTTCATCAGCGAAGAATTCAAAGGTTTTGGTCTTGAAAGCAAGTGCAAATTTCTGAAACATTTCAGAGATTTGTGGGGGTTTAGCTGTTGTTGTTGTTGTTATTGCAGAGGAGCCATCCATAATCTCAGGCATGGCAAAGATTGCTTTGCTCTTTATTATTCTTTGAGAATAAAATAGAGCTTTTTTTGTACTCAAGACTTTACAAAAACAAATAAAAGAGAAGAGTGAAAAAGTCTTGAGTTGTACTGCTGCTACTGCTACTGCTTTGGTGCCGTGGTGTGGTGGTGGTGTTGTTCTTTGGATGTCTTGGAAGGAAGGTATGCGGCTTCTCTTGCTCTTAACTTTTCTTTTTTTTAATTATTATTATTATTATATTGCTATTTTATTTCAGTATTTTTCTTTTCTTTTTCTACTCCTTCAGTTCAGCGGACTTTTTTTTTTTAAAAGAATTTAGTTAACACTTAACGGTAATAAGAGGAAAACTATATTGGCCGGGTAGGTGTCGCTTGTTTTGGTGACTGTCACCTGTATTATTTTCTTCTTTATCAAAAAACAGTAATTATGATGGCGTGAATGGCACTTCAACATATAGTTAAGTTAAATTCCCAGGAATATTAACCCAGATAGACAAATAATATGCAGGAATATTAACCAATTTTACAGATCTATTTACTAAATCATTAGGACCCTGAACATTGAATGGCACCTAAAAACTGAAGTTGAGCACTACCCACTTATTTCCTTTTCAAAAATTTTAATGGGGATTCCACTTCCAAGGCTTTGATAATTGATCTTCTGACTATTCCAGGGTAGGTATAACATCGTATCAGGTTAGGCAGAAGTGATAAAAAATAAATGGTTCTTGATTGGTTTATACATATGGAATTTACAAAAAGAAGAAAACTCTTGTCACTGTTAGATTTAATGATATGTTATATGCATGTGCGTGTGTTCATTGCTGTGTTATCATTTCACGGGTCCAGTAAAGCCAACACCTCCCTAAGTTTTCTACTCTGTAGTCTGTACATGCTTATGTTGAAATGATATCAACTCAACTTTACAAATTATGAAACCTTTAAACCATGTGTGATGCTTTTAGCAGACAATTCTTAGTGGTTTACTTTTGCCGTCCTGAAGGGAGGTCTTCCTTTGCCTTTGTCCCTCTCAAAGACAACCTGGAAGTTGGAAAATTAAAAATAGAACTACCCAGAAAACGTGAATAATGGATATAATATGAAATTTATGTGATCAGTTTGATAGATTAATTGGACTTATCCTTAAGAGTGTATAGATTCCTCCAAGCAAAGAGTTGACTCAAAATAGAGTGGATGATTATTCATTTATTTGGTGAAAATTAGTGGCATGATTGGTGAGCGTAGGTAAGGGGTTGTTGCGTTGAAATGGAGTAAAATAACTGAATCAGTTGACAACTGATATAATGGTGCCACCATATATCAGTGTTAAGTGATGAATCTGTGTTCAGCTGTGTGTCCATATTATTATATTATCCAGTTGTGGGCTTATTTTTAATATCAGTGATTATAATTTTGGAGATTTGGTGAATATTGATTAAGCAATCGGTCATGGTGGCCCTCTATTCGTCTGTTCGGAGACCAGTCAGCCTCACATAATTGCATAACTGTGACGTCTGAGTAAACAAGTATTTGAGAAAATGAATGAATGAATGAATGAATGAGCATCAGAGCAGACTTGATTTCTGTACTTTATCTTTTTTTCTGAATATTGAAGAATAAAAATGAATGGCGGTGGCGAGACCGCAGCTAGCCCACTCAGGCCCACATGAATTGTACATAATCCATTACACTGGTTTGGATCGGGTAGGCTCAAATACAACCTGTGAACAAAAATGTCCAAGATAACTCAAACTGGGATGGGCTCATGATGCTGTTAACAGATAGGCAATTGTCTTTACAGGCCCAAAACATCAAATATCTGATCCTGATTAGGTAGCCCAATACATCTCCAGCCATGCCCCAAAACCAATCAAACTGGTTTGGGTTGTTTTAGGCGGAAAATCCCGTTCCCATAGCCTGTCTATATTGACCTAAAACAACCTAGCTAAGGCTATCAAAGACTTTTCATTGATTTTTTCTCAGAACCAGATATTCTTTGCTTTGTAATCAAATGAGCAGTTACTAAAAAGATGAAATAAAGGATTTTAGTATGGTTAAGTGGGCAGGAAGAGTCAGATTTTGTGGACTGGCGAGAATTAGGGGATTTGAATTTGTCATGTATGAATAAGTTGAACAACACACCTGAGCAGCATTCATTTTGATATGAACTTTGCAGGACATATGCCGTCTTAGTCTTGCTCTCATAGAGCTTTGTGAAGCTTTTGTTTTTGTCTTTATTTGTCTTCCATTTATAGATCTTTACATAAATTTAAATATAAAAATTTCTGTCACTTTACATTTTTAGTAGGTACAGGAAATTTATTTTTGTGTTTCAAACAACCAGCCTCTCGTTAACTTACAGCTAATTTGCCATTGCTGTAGTTGGCAAAAACTCATCTCCAGGTTTATTATAACTGGGTAGCAGTTGATTTTGATTAAGCTACACTGTACTGAACCTTGTTTTGAAGAATGCTCATCTAAATTACCATATCAAAGAGAAAGAGCTTAATGAAGATAACTAAGAGTATGGGTCTAAATTTGCCAGAAATGATTAACAATGGGGACATTTGCTTTCTTGGAGAAAGCGCTTGGAAAGATTACCACAAACACCTTAAACTTTAGGTGTGCTTTAGTCAATTCATGCAATAAAGGAGGATCTGGTTAGTACACTGTGGATATGATGCTATTGTTTAAACATAAGCAGCTGTGCCTCCTGCTCTGGCGCAGAGCTGCCCTACAACCTGCTACTTTTGCTTATGCGTACGGTTAATATTTATCTCATAAGCCCTCTTTGTCTGCACCACCCATCTTAAAGCCAACGTATCTCTTACCCATTTTTCTTTTCCTTCATAAATGCAGTATAAGCCATTCACATGATGTTTCATGAACTAGAATGAACTAATCTTTCTATTGCTTTTAAATGTGTAGACACTTCATCGTGTGGGCATTGCTAAGACACATCATGAGGTTAATAACAATATAAAGAACTTTACCGATTTCTTATCTTTGTTTTTCTTCATCTTTTTTTGGTCTTCTTCAATAAAAATATATTCCATATCTGCAGAAACATTTCTAATTTGTACAATCATGATATCGAACGGAATGAACATAAATTAATTATTGTGATCTTTCATTGTTCAACCACTGCATACCGGAGCAAATTTTGTATACGGATCTGGAAGCAGTGCCATTTTACAAACAATGTGTAAAACAAAAATACAACTCGAAAGGAAAAAAAACATACTTTTTGAACCCTAATCCCACTTGCCACATTTTTTTTCTTTCTTTTTTACAGATTTCCACAGAAAAAAACTGAGGAAAGTCACTGTTTCTGGTCTTGTCTTTTAGCAGTTAGCTCCACTGAGAGAGAGAAACAGAACCACCAAGTGAACCATACATGAAGAGACAAATGTTTATAGTTTTAGGGTTTTTGGGACATGGGCTCTTAGTAAACAGCAGCAATAGAAAAGGAAAGTTTTGATCTTGGTTTTAGTTTCTTCTATAGTTTTTTAGAGTTGTTTGATCCCACTTCCCAATCTTTGTTTTTATTTTTTGTTTTGAAAAAATAAATTTTCATTTAAATAAAATAAAATAAAATAAAAACCGGGTTTTAAAATAGAGTAGGCTAAATGTTGCTGCGGTAATACACAAAGATGATATAACACCTCTTTAAATGAGGCTAAATCTCTCTCTCTCTCTCTCTCCAGTTGTTTCATTGGTAATAGTACCACACCACCCAGTATCATTTGCCAGGCGCCGTTCTCTTTTCTAACACTCTTTTTTTTCTCTGTGAAATAAATGGTTAATCCAGCTATATCTCCATAAATCCTGAACAAACAACCTTCTCTCTCATCAAGATTCAAAATATCATGGTGGGCTTCCATTTCTTTTCTCTCTCTCTTCTCTCTACCGTTCTAATTCCTCTTTCTTTGTTTCTCACTAATTGAATTGTGTTTATTTAATCCTATTTTACAGTTGGTTTCTTCGCCTCTACCTCGCTGGTTTGAAGTTCTTCTCACTGAAAAGTTCTTCAACGCTTGCATAATTCATGAAGAAGAAAAGAAGAACGAAAAAAACATATTTTGTTTGGACTGTTGCACCAGTATATGCCCTCACTGCCTGTCACTCCACAATTCTCATCGCTTGTTGCAGGTTCTCATCAATTGAAAAAAAAAAAAAAAATGAATCCTTTCTGCTTCTGTATATTCCACCTTCCATCTTTGTTTCTCATATTTTTTCGTTGGTTTCTAAACTTTTTGTCATGTTTCAGATAAGAAGGTATGTTTACCATGATGTTATTAGGTTGGATGACGCTGCCAAATTAGTTGACTGTGACTATGTCCAGGTAAGTTCCAACTTAATTTCATCATACCATCTTTGTCTCTGTGCATGTTCAGAATCTTATGATCTATCATCTATGGGGCCTTTGTTCGGTCGTTCTAGATACTTCTTTACTTTCTTGTTTTTACAACAATTCTATCTGTTTCAATTCAAAGTGTTATTAAAAATAATTTAAAGAAAGTTGAATTTTTCATGGATTCTTAACCCAATTACGCTCTCTCCAGCCATATATAACTAATAGCGCAAAAGTGGTGTTTATAAACCAAAGGCCACAAACAAGGCTCAGAAGTTCGGGCAACATATGTAACACTTGTGACAGAGCCCTACAAGATTCCTATCTCTTCTGCTCTCTTTCTTGCAAGGTCTCTTTTTCATCATCTGGATCTCATCTCATATTTTCAACTTTTTATTATTATCATTAAAATGGGTCTTACTTATTTTTCCACTAAAAATTACAGATTAATTATCTCTTAAGCATACAAGGTGGTCTTTCCAAGTTTTTCTTTGAGTGCAAGTACTTGCCCTTACCGGAATCGGGATTTGATAATGGCCTAGTGACACCTGATTCGGTACTTGAGCCAACCGGGTCGACCCGAACATCATCCGGATCAGGAGGATATGGTGAAGTCGGGTGCAGTACACTAGGTTGCACTGCTACAACTAAGATTGCGAAGAAGAAGAGGAGTAGCATGACGGCTTGTCGCTCAATGTCTTCTCCAGTGCCTGAAATTACGGTGAGCTTAATTAATAGAAGGAAAAAAACTCCACAAAGGGCTCCGCTTTATTGATCTTGTATATGGTGGTGATAGCGACCAATGAGAGTGGCAGGGGGAGATCGGAGAAATTAGTTGGTGGTTTTTAAGAAGTCTCCCAATTTTGTAAAGGATATAGCCTCTCTTTTTTGTGTGGATTCTGGTACGAATGGGCCCTTTTTTTTTCTTTTGTTTTACAGAATTACAACTAACGATATTTACGAGAGGGCACTTTTGTGTTGGCGCTTCCCCTACTATAGAAAATTATTTATTTGTATTAATTTTATCTCTATAATAGGACTTTTTATTTTATATTAATATTATGGTTAATATATATCTAATCTAAAAGGAAAGTGTTGCGCTTTCTGAATTTGGGCTATAGATAAGTTCTTTTTGTGGAGAAAATTGCAGTGAAATGTAGACATTACAAAACCAAAGAAGGGATTGAATGTGGATATAGAAATTCAAACAGTCAATTAGATAGAGAGAAAATGTGACCCACCAATCTTGATGGAGATCCTAAAATTACCAATCAAAAGGTTTTTTTCTAGCTTTTGTTTCCTTCCTGTTTTTTTCATTTCGTCTGACCATGGGCAGGAACAGGATAATGACAGATTAAATTTGTTTGGTGATTCAATTTAGAGTAAACGACAATTTCCCACCCAAGGTTTGGCTAATCTACAAGGTCCCACCCATGGTTTCATAAATTACAAATTTCCAACCTTAAATTAACACCATTATTTTTCTCTCAAAATAACCTCACATCTCAAATTTCTCTCAAATAACCCTGAGAGGAGATCTCGGCCAAGCCAAAAATCTTGTCTGATTTTGACATCATTGGACCTCTTTGACACCATCATTAGCATCCCCTTATCCTCCTCACTGAAACCTTTAACTTTTCCATCGAGACCTATACAAATTTGGATGAAACGTCGATTGACACTAAAAGTGACGACTGGCGATTGGGAGGTTCAATCAGGCTGGGAGGTTAGGGGTTTTTATGTGTGGTGGGTTGAAGGGATTGTAATGGTGGTGTCGGGATGGGTCGATTATGCCAGAAACAGGTTAGAATGTCCTGAAATCCCCAATTGAGTGAATTTGAGAAGTAAAAGGTTATTTTAAAAATTTTATCTTTGAAATGATTATTTTACGTTTTATGTTAATTTAAGAGCGAAAATCTGCAAATTTATGAAAGGTGGGAACTTGTAGATTCGCCATAACCTGGGTGGGAAAATGTCGCTTACTCTTCGATTTATCATATTCTCTCCGGTCACTGCCCTCACCAAATGTCTCTTCATATAACTAACTTGGGTTATAAAGTTTGGCATCCATTTTTTTTATTTACTATGGTACCCCTTTCACGGTTGGGTTAATGACATTTTCGTCCCTGAGGCTTGAAGGAAGTGTCAGTTTAGTCCCTGACATCAGAAAATTTGAGTATCTGTGAATGCTTGCGTTATGAAACGCCTATAATGCTTTGTTTGTCTTATTAGAGAGCACGAATACTAAAGGTAAAATTCAGACTTTAAAGATTCATCGGATAATAAAAATGAATGGAAAAAATTTAATAAACAAAAGTCAATAAAAATTTCAAACCCTAAGCCACCACCACTGCCAAGTGCGATCCCAACAACGACCCAACTCATAAAAGCAATGTTAGTGTTATAAAGATAAATACAAAAAAAACATATAAAGATAATTATTATCCTTTAATCTTCATGATTTTTCTCTTTTTTTTCATTCTTTCTTTGTTTTTTTCTTTTTGTTGACGTCATTTTATAATTCTCTTTATAAGGTTTTTATAATAGCATTTTTCCCCGTAAAAACCACTACCATGGCAGCCACAATACTTTTACCAAAACAGAAATTAAAAAAAAAAAAAAAAAGCTATCACCGTTACGATATCAAAACTCACCCATCATAAACATAAGATTCCGGAAAAAATAAAACCGAAGCCACCTCCCAAATCAAAACCATACATCAAACCAATAATGAGGTTCTTCAAATACACACGCTTCCCTTATAAAATCCTTCAAAACAGAAAAAATAAAAAACAAAAACCAAAAAACCGCTGGCACAGAAGAAGAATGGCTACGCCTATGCTATCTGGTAGGCGGCGTCGCCACATTGCTGCGATATGGCTTTGGGGTAAAGCCACGCCGCAAAAATCAGGGGCTGAGCAAGGCCGGCGACGATGGGGTAAGTTGGGTTGTCGTGGGCTAGGGGGAATTGGGGTTGAGGGTGAAGTGTTTGGAGCGAGGGTGGATGTTTATTTATCAGACCAAAATGCCCTTACTTTGTCTAAAACAACCCTAGCGGCTCTACGGCAGTCATCTGACACTCTGACAGGGACTACATTAACTTTTTCAAATTTCACTGGACCAACTGGTTGTTTCTACAAACATCAGGGACGAAAAAAACATTAACTCCTTTCACGGTCACACTCACTCTACAACTGCCCCATGATAAATTTAGTTTCAGTTTTCCTTTATCTTCTTAAAACCTTGAAACAAATTTGATATCTTCAGTCTCAAAAAAAGTTACAGCTGTCTTTAAATATACAGCTGTTGTTTATGTCATCAAAGGAGACCACGATATACAGCCACCTAGTTACGATGGCACCTCCAAGCCCTGATGCGCGCTTGAAAACATTGGAACTCTGCTTATTCCACCCTTGGCCATAGGCATCTTACTCCAAATTCTCAGAACGGGAGTTCCCACAAGAACTTATGTTGTGCCGTTATTTCCTAATTTACGACAAGAGATCAAATCCAAAAAGTATATATATATTTTTTTAATCATCAAACTAAGTCTTGCTTTTACACAATTACAAATGCAGGGAAGATATATGGTTTTACAATTTGCTAATAAAAGATGAACTATCTGAAGCACGCACCAAAAACAAGAAGTAAACAAACTTGCAAGCTCAGACGCTAAATAGATAACTTAATTATCCTAGGACAAATTAATAAGGCGAGAAATAAAGCATTTGAACCACCTCTGCCACCCCCACTGCGATTTTATTTTGACTGCAGGCTTTCAGGTAGATCAAGCTTCCTCCTCTTTAGTAGATCCTCTTCCCCTGGAGGATGCCGATCAACCAAGTCAAGAATTGGCTCTAGCTCATTTAGAATTGATTTTTATTTCCTAGAACTATAAGATCGGCACCCTAAATACTGAATTATAGTTAACAAATAGGAAAAAGCTGGAAATTAGAAATCTATGGGAAAGGCATAATTATAACTTTTAGCCCTTGCAATAAATCCTTTAAAATTTGCTCCTGTTAAAAAAGCAACTGCTGATACTTGATAAATATATAATGATTAATACCTCTATGGCATTTCTCAGTGAGGATAAGGACGATGATCTTCTCATAGAACCACTGGCTTTCTTCTGCATCACGGCTAATCTGCTGGCCATTTTGAAAATTATGAAATAAAACTCTTAACTTCCTTCAACCACGCCTTAGCCAATAGCCACTACCAGCTCGCGCAGTGATCAAGAGCTTGTGACCCACGGACCACATGTTCTTTGAAGCTCCTCCGTATGTTCAATGCTGCATCTTGAGGACTTAATTCCTTCTTCTTTTCCCTCACCTTAGCTAAAAAACTCTGCCTTTAGTCAAAAGCCTGGTTAACAATGGCATTTCAGTCGGATCAGATAAATTGAGGTTATCTTGCAGTCAAGCAACTATTATATAATGAAGCGTATGAGAAATGTCAAAGAATCATAGTGTTGAGGTTTGAGTTTAACTAACCTGTCTTGGAAATAATGTCCTTTGTTCAATTCTTCAATCTCTCACCACACGAAGGCAACAGGCTCCCTTCTTTCTTCTCAATTAGGTGCACCCACAATGCACATTCCCACATGTTATTTTTTCTCCTCGAAACTCTGATGCTTCAATTTGATCTCACCCGTGCACGCAATTATCATGCTTCTTCAGAGACTCTTCCTCATCAATCGCTCCACTAATCTCAGCCGTCCAGTTACTTCCTGCCAACCCCATTCTCAATCTCAGTCACCCATGAATACTTCCTGTCAATCCCATTCTTAATCTCAGTCACCTACGAAAACTTCCTGTCAATCCCATTCTTAATCTCAGCGTTCCATTTGTACTTCCGGTCGAATCTCTTCTTTTCCGGACACTGAAATCTCCGCCTTCCAAGTGTACTTACTATCCACTACCGTGACGTTCGTTGCCCCAAAGTCGGCGAATCCCACACTCCAGACCCGAAATCCCACCACACAAGCTCCACATAGTTGGGTCCAGGCAGGGTGATCATAATGGGTTCCTCCAATAGCACGATGAAAATGGATTACATTTGTAACAGTGTGCACCTTAAAATTATAGAGAAGAAAGAGCGTCAAAGAAGTTGAAAGGTTTTACGGAGTGGAGAAGATATTCTCATAAAGTGACAATAGATGGCAAAGATCACCAAACATGTCGACTATTCAGGGACTGATACATTGATGTTGGTTGAGAGAAGAAGAGAGAATAGAGTTTTGCTTTCGAAGATGCAAATGAAAGAAAAGGGACCTTCTCCCTCAGTCAATTGAAGAGAGATCACAGTCTCTTCCCTCTCAAATGGAGGCCAAAAACAGAATCTCATTTACGCAACTAACACACCGCTTCACAAAATGCCACAATTTGAAGTCTTCTGACTGATTTCTGACCATCTCTTTCAAACATTCCCTCTATACCCATCATAAATAACGTATCTTAACATAACATCATCTTATGAAAGGGGTAATTATGTCATTAGAGTACGGTCGACATATTAATCAACCTTTCAAAATCACGAACCTAAAAAAGCGTACCATACGAAGAAATTATATCTTCATCTAATCATCTTAGCGTCACAAGCGCTTACACAGCATCCATCACAACTCCTTAATAACCGTCCGATTCGAACTCAAACATCTGCAGGAAACCACAGTATCAACCGACTTCATCCCAATCCACGGCTTAAAACAGTCAGAGAAATCAATGTCATTGTGAACTTAAAACTCTTTCTTACCGAATCTAAAATTCGTCAAAACTGTTTCTTCCGGTTTCTTCTCAGTTCTTGCTTTGGTAATCCCACCATTTTTGGTTTTCTGCAGACCCTAATCTATAATATTCTGATACTATAATCTTTTTAATTAAGAAAAAAAGAAGAAGTTTTGATATAGAGCCATGAGTACTGGAGATCTTGTAAATATTCAACCCTCGGAGCTCAAATTTCCATGTAAGTCTATTTATTTAATGAATTTCGTAATTTTCTGTTTGGTTTCCAAGAAAAAACCAGAGGAAAAGGAAAGAGAAGTAATGGAAGTTTAATATAGAGTTCGATCTTGTTTTTTCCCAAGTTACGCGACGATCACTTGAACTAGGTCGTTAGGCTTTCTGTTATGTGCACCCTTCGTGGTTTACACGAATTTTTTGTTTGGTTGCCCAGAAAATTTGATAACCCTTGTTTTTTTTTCATCATCTCAGTCACTTTCATTTATACTGAAATTGAAGTTTTGAGTTATAAATTGATTGTAATTAAGTTAATGGTTTTTATTTTGATTTTGTTTACTGCATTGTTTTCATCTTGTTGATTTTCGGTTTGAATTTTCTGGCACATGAAAAAAAAGTTGAATTGAAGAAGCAGAGTTCTTGTTCCATGCAATTGACCAACAAGACGGATGATTATGTAGCCTTCAAGGTACTCCTTTAAGCTGTAATCGTTGTTTATTATACTAATTTGGTCTTGTTTTAAAACTTATCTTTCTGTGTAATTCATTGAACAATATAACTGAATAGGTTAAAACGACCAATCCCAAAAAATATTGTGTTCGGCCCAATACTGGTGTTATTTTGCCCAGGAGCACCTGCAATGTTACAGGTCAGTGTATGCAGTAACTTCTTCACTTTGGTGTAGAAGTCATCCTTTATGGGGATTTTTGAAATCTGAAATCTGAACATTCTCAATGGTTTTAACATGATTTACCTTTTTAGCTGGTAATATGTATAGTTAATTGTATAGGTAAGATATTTCTATTGTGACAATTGTTGTTTCACTTTCTTTAAGTTTACACATTTCATTTTGATGGATCAATCAAATTCTTTTAGTTGTTAATTTCCACTAACTATTGTACTCTGGCATTTCTATGTACAATAAGCCCTTACTACTGTTAAATTCCAATATTTTCTACTTTAATCATAATTTATTTACGTGTTTTATGTTGGAATTGCTTATTGATGGATTCAACAAATTTTAACCAATTGCTTTGTTTAATGATTTTTCCCATCTGGCAGTTACAATGCAAGCTCAAAAAGAGACACCCCCTGATTTGCAATGCAAGGACAAGTTCCTCCTACAAAGTGTTGTTGCACCCGATAGTACCACTTCAAAAGATATAGTGGCAGAAATGGTGTGCTTTGCTGCTGTTATTGTTTTTTATTTAAATTTGATTTTGTATTTAATCTTTCCTGGACTCAGACGTGGTCGGGATTGGATTGCAGTTTAACAAGGAGGAGGGTAAAATTGTTGAGGAGTTTAAATTGCGGGTGGTTTACATTCCCGCTAATCCACCATCCCCTGTCCCTGAAGGATCTGAAGAAGGATCTTCTCCTAGGGCATCTTCACTAGAAAATGGAAATCAAAATGCTACATTATTTGAAGATGTAAGTGTTTCATGATGTTTCTGTTTGAAATTTTGTTTACTTTTTCTCTCTGAAAGTTCAGAATACCAGTGATGGAATAGTTGATTTGTCTCATATACCATTTTGTATGTTTGATTTTTATGTTAAAAACATCAGGTATCAAGATCTTTGGAGGCAACTAAAGAGAAGTCCTCTGAGGTAATTAGTCTCTTTGACCCTGTTTTAACTTTAGCAATAGAAGTTCTCTTTTTGATGGCTGTCAAATGTTGTTAATGTCCAAGACCACATAACCTTCTTGAAATGTAATATTTAATGGAAGGAGAATGAGTTAGATATTAGAATTATCTGATACAATTGGTTTTCAGCTTGACCCTAGCCTTTTTTGAAGTGTGCAACAAACAAATAATGGTTTTATTTATTAATTCCTTGTGGAAGTTTAATTTTTTTTTATATGAAGTTGCCAATCTTTATTTTGTACTTTCTTCTTGTGTATTATCCTTGATTATTTTTATTTTCCCCTTGATTGTCAATTCTATCATGCACATTTCTTCTGCAGGCTTGGTCTATGATTTCTAAGTTGACAGAGGAAAAAACTTCTGCCATGCAACAAAATCAAAAGCTACAGCAAGAGCTGGTTGGTTTAATTATCTTTACGTCAACCATGTTTCTATACTATTGTGCCTCATTTTCTAATATTTAATCTTCTTCATGCTTTGATACCAATAATATTTCTTGTAGCAGCTTGCCATGGCTTATGTGTTTTCTCCTCTATATCATTTCAATTGATTTAAATTTCTGTTTTTAATTAGGTGATGTAAATAGCCATATCATTTTGTGGTACTAAAGTTATTTTGTCGGCTAATGCATTTCCATTAACCATTGCCTGACTGCTCTAGTATGTTGGGACAATAACATTCAAGACATTATTTAACAGTCTCTAGTTTGCCCATTGTCTCTGATTAACTTGAGGAGGAATTGGACCGGAATCATGAATGATCGTATCCGTATTGTTCTTTAGAATTGAATGCCCTAGACTGAGTCTTTGGAAGTGCTGAAGTGCAGTCCACGTAGTCTAGGATTTTCTTTTACAGTGTTGATTTATTTTGTGTTTTCGTTGCTAAGCTCAGGAGTTACCATTTTGTTATTATCAAGTGATTGAATTTAGAGGGGATGCTGCCACCAAAGAACCAGAAATTTGACTTCTAGGAATGAATTTGTATTTTGATTTTTTTATTTTCTGTTGCCATTTTCTCTCTTATAATTTTACTGGTGTGAAATGGTGTCCTTCAGGCCAAATTAACATGCCCATTGCACATTCTTGATTTGTGGTGAATGAGATTTTAATCTGGGGCATGTAAAATGCTGAATGCAAAAGTTTATGCATCCTTAAATTGAGAAAAATAATACTTTTGCCCATGTGTGTTAATGGAAAATAAAAATTTAATCCTAAGTTGAGGCCCTTTTTATTCTTTATGTTCATTTATTTTTGTGATTGTTGCTGCATTGCATGTTTGCATTGTTATTTTACTTTGTGTGCTTAATCCATAATTTGTTTCTCCAGTGCTCATAGCTGAGTAAATTCAATAATTATAGTTTAACTTGTTTCATTCATGCGTCTACATTTTGCTGTCATTTACCATGGTAATCAAACAGGAATTGATGAGAAAGGAAATTAGCAAAAGTCATGCTGGTGGTGTTTCTTTAGTTTTTGTTGTACTGGTTGGTCTCCTTGGTGTTTTGATCGGCTATCTACTCCAGAGAAGTTAGAAGCTGCAATTCAAACAAGCATATTCAATGGTGAATGTGCATATCAATGTTATGGGTATCCGAAAGTTTTCAACACCGTTTTCTTTTTAGTGTGTATAAGCTGTAGACTATGTTTTGTATTTTATTCAGTTTCAATTATTGAGTTGTTTTGAGTTTGAAGAAGGCCTCATTTTGAAAGGCAGTGTGTGTTTAGATAGGTTCAGGTTCAGGTAAACCCAAAAACTGTATTGAATGGATTGGCCTAACTTGGACTGCTGGAATGGATTTAAATTTATTCTGATTCTTTTTGTGATTCTTCAATGCATAGTCGCTGGGGTTGATATTGCCCAGCTCTATGCTGGATAAAGAGCAGAAAAGACAAATGCAAACTTATAAAAACGACAGGGATTCGAGAAACAGCCTCTTGAGAGAGACTACTTAAACGTTAATGCTCCTAGTAGAGACTAGCCTTGCAGGTCAGACGGCAGAACAAAAAGTTTCCGCTTTTGTTATATTTGTAATTACGACTTACAAATGGGTTTGACTAAGTGAGAGGCCATGTTCATCCTTTGAAATTATTGCCGATCTAGAGGATGTTTTCTTACTAAACTTGGTCTACCACTGATTAGAACTTATTCTACTACCTGTTGAATTTCCGTAATATGTAAAATTAAACATTTCAACCAGATTAAAACTGCAATCTGGCTTAATTTCTTGGGCCAACGCTCAAACTATCAACTATAAGAAATGCGCGATGCATCAGAGCGTTTATTCATTATAATAGGGGGAATACGCAAGGCTAAACACTGCAAGTTATTATACTAAATCATAAAATATGTACGCTTAACTATGAACTGATAGGCACTGTTGCTGTTGTGGCTTCCATTTCTGGATTTGGAATAGGCTTTTCTTCTTGTAGTTGGCGAGGACGAGGCGACCGTGTGTGAGTCATAGGCACTCTCGCTGCTGTGGCTTCGATTTCTGGACTTAGATTGGGCTTGTTTTGTTGTGCGTGGCGAGGACAAGGCCACCGGGCGCGGGTATCGTGATGCTGGCGACGTATTACTCCTTGAGTAAGGAAGGAGCCAAACATGGCTCCTAACATAAACGTGACACCGGTCTTCACAGGGCTCATGTTTACGATACAATACGATGGGGAAAACTGGTGAAAAGCAGGTTACGGAATTAAATTTTGATTTGGTTGATTGCCGGGTGACGCGGGATTCTATTTATAATTTTCAAGTGTCGTGGTGCCGAAGCCTTCAAACCAGGTGGGCTTATACCCATTGGATATTTAAACCAGGTGTCCAAGCCTTTATGGCTAGTTGGATATTTGTTTTCCGGAGAACTTAGGTCATTGATGACCTGGGCTCTTCATTTGTCTATTGGATAACTTTCCGGACACTTCCAATTACTTCATTTCATGATATTTCCCTGACCCTTTGAATTCATAAAGAGTTAATTTCAATTTCTTCTAGTTTACTTGGTTAACAAGTATGCTCAATCTCTTCAAGAAATGGGGCATCTGGCTCGCCAGTTGCAGAGTGGAAAATGTTTACTAGCAACGTCAATATGATTCTGGCACCTGCGCTTGTTCATCCCGATGTCCATGTTCGAGATTTTAAAACCTTGCAATTTCGTATTTTATGTTCCTCGGAATAGGTCCCAATCAGTATCAGTGTTGAAGAAACAACACAAACAAGTGAAAAGCGATTAAACCAGGGGCCCTCGAATTCTGGTGAAGTCTTTGTCACGGTTGAATAAAAAGCAAGGATTGGATAATAATAAATCAAAGGATAATTTTAAGTAATCCATAAGATGTAAGGCTATTGTCAGCCACAATTTTATTCTCAGGCTACATACACCTAGTTTTATCATTTCAAGAGTGATACAGTTCACATATTTGGTCAGTATCCAGTAGCCTATTGAAGATTTTATTCTCTATAAATACCCAGTGACTAGTTATGGTTTCTTAAATAAATTTTTAAAGATAAGCTTTATGGGTTCTCAGGCAGTAGCTCTTTTCATTTTGCTTAATATCACATTGTTTATTTGTGTTTCATCAAATAAGGTTCCATGCCCTCCCAAAATTTCCCCATCACCTCCTTCAGTCCCAATGAAGCCAGAGAAATGTCCTAAAGATAAGTTGAAGTTTGGTGTTTGTGGGAGCTGGTTAGGGTTGGTTTATGAGGTTGTTGGGACTAAACCCAGCAAGCAATGTTGTAATTTGATTGAAGGACTTGCTGATCTTGAAGCTGCATTGTGTTTATGTACCGCCATTAAAGCCAATGCTTTGGGAGCTATCAAGCTTGAAGTACCAATTGCCCTCAGTTTGGTGCTTAATTCGTGTGATAAAAAGGTTCCTCGAGGCTTCCAATGCTAGTAGAGTCTCTCGCTCTCTCACATTCGGTTCCTCGTCGGCCTCTCCCAGACCCAATTGATTTCCTTTTTTTTTTCGGGGATAAATTGAAGCAATATTGTAGAGAATAAGTTATTAATAATGAAATGAATGATGTTTTTAGTCCTGTACTTAGCTTAATCTGATTCATCATACCCAGGCTGTCCATGTTTACTCATGTTTATTAGAAACTTAACAAAGGTACCATACGAAGAAATTATATCTTCATCTATAATCTAGCGTCACAAGCGCTTACACAGCATCCATCACAACTCCTTAATAACCGTCCGATTCGAACTCAAACATCTGCAGGAAACCACAGTATCAACCGACTTCATCCCAATCCACGGCTTATAACAGTCAGAGAAATCAATGTCATTGTGAACTTAAAACTCTTTTTACCGAATCTAAATTCGTCAAAACTGTTTCTTCCGGTTTCTTCTCAGTTCTTGCTTTGGTAATCCCACCATTTTTGGTTTTCTGCAGACCCTAATCTATAATATTCTGATACTATAATCTTTTTAATTAAGAAAAAAAGAAGAAGTGTGATATAGAGCCATGAGTACTGGAGATCTTGTAAATATTCAACCTCGGAGCTCAAATTTCCATGTAAGTCTATTTATTTAATGAATTTCGTAATTTTCTGTTTGGTTTCCAAGAAAAAGCCAGAGGAAAGAAAAGAGAAGTAATGGAAGTTAATATAGAGTTCGATCTTGTTTTTTCCCAAGTTACGCGACGATCACTGAAATAGGTCGTTAGGCTTTCTGTTATGTGCACCCTTCGTGGTTTACACGAATTTTTGTTTGGTTGCCCAGAAAATTTGATAACCCTAATTTTTTTTATCACCCAGTCACCATTCATATACTGAAATTGAAGTTTTGAGTTATAAATTGATTGTAATTAAGTTAATGGTTTTATTTTGATTTTGTTTACTGCATTGTTTCATCTTGTTGATTTTCGGTTTGAATTTTCTGGCACATGAAAAAAAAGTTGATTGAAGAAGCAGAGTTCTTGTTCCATGCAATTGACCAACCGACGGATGATTATGTAGCCTTCAAGGTACTCCTTTAAGCTGTAATCGTTGTTTATTACTAATTTGGTCTTGTTTTAAAACTTATCTTTCTGTGTAATTCATTGAAAAATAACTGAATAGGTTAAAACGACCAATCCCAAAAAATATGTGTTCGGCCCAATACTGGTGTTATTTTGCCCAGGAGCACCTGCAATGTTACAGGTCAGTGTATGCAGTAACTTCTTCACTTTGGTGTAGAAGTCATCCTTTATGGGGATTTTGAAATCTGAAATCTGAACATTCTCAATGGTTTTAACATGATTTACCTTTTTAGTGGTAATATGTAGTTAATTGTATAGGTAAGATATTTCTATTGTGACAATTGTTGTTCTTCTTTAAGTTACACATTTCATTTTGATGGATCAATCAGATTCTTTTAGTTGTTAATTTCCACTAACTATTGTACTCTGGCATTTCTATGTACCATAAGCCCTTACTACTGTTAAATTCCAATATTTTCTCTTTAATCATAATTATTTACGTGTTTTATGTTGGAAGCTTATTGATGGATTCAACAAATTTTAACCAACTGCTTTGTTTAATGATTTTTCCCTCTGGCAGTTACAATGCAAGTCAAAAAGAGACACCCCCTGATTTGCAATGCAAGGACAAGTTCCTCCTACAAAGTGTTGTTGCACCCGATAGTACACTTCAAAAGATATAGTGGCAGAAATGGTGTGCTTTGCTGCTGTTATTGTTTTTTATTTAAATTTGATTTTGTATTTAATTTTCCTGGACTCAGACGTGGTCTGGATGGATTGCAGTTTAACAAGGAGGAGGGTAAAATTGTTGAGGAGTTTAAATTGCGGGTGGTTACATTCCCGCTAATCCACCATCCCTGTCCCTGAAGGATCTGAAGAAGGATCTTCTCCTAGGGCATCTTCACTAGAAAATGGAAATCAAAATGCTACATTATTGAAGATGTAAGTGTTTCATGATGGTCTGTTTGAAATTTTGTTTACTTTTTCTCTCTGAAAGTTCAGAATACCAGTGATGGAATAGTTGATTTGTCTCATATACCATTTTGTATTTGATTTTTATGTTAAAAACATCAGGTATCAAGATCTTGGAGGCAACTAAAGAGAAGTCCTCTGAGGTAATTAGTCTCTTTGACCCTGTTTTAACTTAGCAATAGAAGTTCTCTTTTTGATGGCTGTCAAAGTTGTTAATGTCCAAGACCACATAACCTTCTTGAAATGTAATATTTAATGGAAGGAGAATGAGTTAGATATTAGAATTATCTGATACAATTGGTTTTCAGCTTGACCCTAGCTTTTTTGAAGTGTGCAACAAACAAATAATGGTTTATTTATTAATTCCTTGTGGAAGTTTAATTTTTTTTATATGAAGTTGCCAATCTTTATTTTGTACTTTCTTTTGTGTATTATCCTTGATTATTTTTATTTCCCCTTGATTGTCCATTCTATCATGTACATTTCTTCTGCAGGCTTGGTCTATGATTTCTAAGTTGACAGAGGAAAAAACTTCTGCATGCAACAAAATCAAAGCTACAGCAAGAGCTGGTGGTTTAATTATCTTTACGTCAACCGTATTCTATATTATTGTGCCTCATTCTCTAATATTAATCTTCTCATGCTTTGATACCATAATATTTCTTGAGAGCTTGCCAGGCTTATGGTTTCCCTCTATATCATTTCAATTGATTTAATTTCTGTTTTTAATTAGGTGATGTAAATGCCATATCATTTTGTGGTACTAAAGTTATTTTGTAGCTAAGCATTCCATTAACCATTGCCTGACGCTTAGTATGTGGGACGATAACATTCAAGACATTTTTTAACAGTCTCTAGTTTGCCCATTGTCTCTGATTAACTTGAGGAGGAATTGGACCGGAATCATGAATGATCGTATCCGTATTGTTCTTTAGAATTGAATGCCTAGACTGAGTCTTTGGAAGTGCTGAAGTGCAGTCCATGTAGTCCAGGATTTTCTTTTACAGTGTTGATTTATTTTGTGTTTTCGTTGCTAAGCTCAGGATTACCATTTGTTATTATCAAGTGATTGAATTAGAGGGGATGCTGCCACCAAAGAACCAGAAATTGACTTCTAGGAATGAATTTGTATTTTGATTTTTTTTTTCTGTTGCCATTTTCTCTTTATAATTTTACTGGTGTGAAATGGTGTCCTTCAGGCCAAATTAACATGCCCATTGCACATTCTTGATTTGTGGTGAATGAGATTTTAATCTGGGGCATGTAAATGCTGAATGCAAAAGTTTATGCATCCTTAAATTGAGAAAAATAATACTTTTGCCCATGTGTGTTAATGGAAAATAAAAATTTAATCCTAAGTTGAGGCCCTTTTTATTCTTATGTTCATTTATTTTGTGATTGTTGCTGCATTGCATGTTTGCATTGTTATTTTACTTTGTGTGCTTAATCCATAATTTGTTTCCCAGTGCTCAAGCTGAGTAAATTCAATAATTTAGTTTAACTTGTTTCATTCATGCGTCTACATTTTGCTGTCATTTACCATGGTAATCAACAGGAATTGATGAGAAAGGAAATTAGCAAAAGTCATGCTGGTGGTGTCTCTTAGTTTTTTGTGTACTGGTTGGTCTCCTTGGTGTTTTGATCGGCTATCTACTCCAGAGAAGTAGAAGTGCAATTCAAACAAGCATATTCAATGGTGAATGTGCATATCAATGTTATGGGTATCCGAAAGTTTCAACGGCAGTCATCTGACACTCTGACAGGGACTACATTAACTTTTTCAAATTTCACTGGACCAACTGGTTGTTTCTACAAACATCAGGGACGAAAAAAACATTAACTCCTTTCACGGTCACACTCACTCTACAACTGCCCCATGATAAATTTAGTTTCAGTTTTCCTTTATCTTCTTAAAACCTTGAAACAAATTTGATATCTTCAGTCTCAAAAAAAGTTACAGCTGTCTTTAAATATACAGCTGTTGTTTATGTCATCAAAGGAGACCACGATATACAGCCACCTAGTTACGATGGCACCTCCAAGCCCTGATGCGCGCTTGAAAACATTGGAACTCTGCTTATTCCACCCTTGGCCATAGGCATCTTACTCCAAATTCTCAGAACGGGAGTTCCCACAAGAACTTATGTTGTGCCGTTATTTCCTAATTTACGACAAGAGATCAAATCCAAAAAGTATATATATATTTTTTTAATCATCAAACTAAGTCTTGCTTTTACACAATTACAAATGCAGGGAAGATATATGGTTTTACAATTTGCTAATAAAAGATGAACTATCTGAAGCACGCACCAAAAACAAGAAGTAAACAAACTTGCAAGCTCAGACACTAATAGATAACTTAATTATCCTAGGACAAATTAATAAGGCGAGAAATAAAGCATTTGAACCACCTCTGCCACCCCCACTGCGATTTGATTTTGACTGCAGGCTTTCAGGTAGATCAAGCTTCCTCCTCTTTAGTAAATCCTCTTCCCCTGGAGGATGCCGATCAACCAAGTCAAGAATTGGCTCTAGCTCATTTAGCATTGATTTTTATTTCCTAGAACTATAAGATCGACACCCTAAATACTGAATTATAGTTAACAAATAGGAAAAAGCTGGAAATTAGAAATCGATGGGAAAGGCATAATTATAACTTTTAGCCCTTGTAATAAATCCTTTAAAATTTGCTCCTGTTAAAAAAGCAACTGCTGATACTTGATAAATATATAGTGATTAATACCTCTATGGCATTTCTCAGTGAGGATAAGGACGATGATCTTCTCATAGAACCACTGGCTTTCTTCTGCATCATGGCTAATCTGCTGGCCATTTTGAAAATTATGAAATAAAACTCTTAACTTCCTTCAACCACGCCTTAGCCAATAGCCACTGCCAGCTCGCGCAGTGATCAAGAGCTTGTGACCCACGGACCACATGTTCTTTGAAGCTCCTCCGTATGTTCAATGCTGCATCTTGAGGACTTAATTCCTTCTTCTTTTCCCTCACCTTAGCTAAAAAACTCTGCCTTTAGTCAAAAGCCTGGTTAACAATGGCATTTCAGTCGGATCAGATAAATTGAGGTTATCTTGCAGTCAAGCA